TTTTTCCTTTTTCTCTTTTTGGTTGCTATGATTCTGGTAAAGAAAAGTGAATATTTTTGGCAGTGGTCACCAAAGATTGAAGAACCTGAAAAGCTGAAAAAAAGTAGAATACTGTGGTCACACCCCAGAATTAAAAGGATAGATACCAAATATATATATATATATATAAACCTTGACAAAATGGATTCCTTGTTCTAAATCTTTTGATTCTCTAATGTCAAGGAAATTTGATTCTCTAAGGTTTTTGAATTGTTGATTTGATGATCAAAAGTGTTTGGGTTTATTTGATTAGCAAATTGCATAAATCTTTGCTTAATTAAATGCAAGGTTGGTGTTAGAGAATTAAATGAAATCTGTCTTTGGTTGATTGAATCATTCATGCTTATGTTTACTCGGTTTAAGAAGCTGTTTGTGTCCTGTTTTCAATTAATTATCTTCACCTAACTCTACAATTTATGATTATTTTTTTTCCCTCTTATAAGATCTTGAAAAATTACTTAATTATGTTTAGATGGTTACTACTATTAATCTCAAAACTCGTTATAAAAACAAAATTAAATATAAGTCATCTTAAATGGATTTATTCGGTGTATAAATTTCATATGTTATCACTTTATAAATATGTAAATATAAAAGTTTATAAGTTTCTCAAAATAAATATTTTTAAAAATTATTATTATTTTTTTAAAATTTTAATTTTGATAACATTTGATTTCTTAGTACTGTATAAGATTTATACACCAATAATCATATGATATAAAATCATAATATATATAAATATATTTTTAAAGTATTATAAGATCATATATTAATTAAAAATAAACAAACACAGAGAAAAGTATTAATAACGTAGTTAAAATATAATAATTCAAAATGGAAGTAAAATCATTGATTAAGTTAATGTTATATATTATATTTAAGTAACGATTTTCCATATTTACTTTAAAATTAAAATAAATAAAACCTCAATTAATTAACCCACTAATATCTCAAACCGTTGACTTTCGGGATTTGCCTTCCCATTTTATTACAAATTTCGTCCCCCTCACGCGCTTACCATCTTTGATAGTCAACTCCTCCATAAATTCCTAAAATAAACCAATTTGCAATTATTATAAATCCCCTCCCAAAAAACAATGCCGCTTCCTTTGGCTTCTTCCAAACAAAGCTTTCCCAAAAGTCAACTCCCTCTTCCTCCACCCTCCGTCTGCTTACAACGTTAAAAGTAAACAAAAAAAACCAAAACCAAAACCAAAACCAGTTGGGGAAAGAATTTAAATTTATGGGAAACAGTGTTAGAAAGCTAAGCCATTGCTGTTCTTGCAATGGAGAAAGCCATGAAATGACGACTCACATTATGCCACACCCGACCCAAGACTTCGTTGGCCATTCTTTTTGTTACGTTCGACCCGACCCGGCTCGTCTCTCCTCCTCCAAAGTCCACTCTTTAAACGACTGTTCTTCCTCGACCACTACTAAAGCGACGACGTTTCGTTCCATATCCGGAGCTTCCGTTGGTGCCAACATAACTACGGTTCCATTGGCGTCATCCCCGTTACCTGATCGTTCCTCCACGTTTGAAAGCTCGGAGTTATTTGCTTCCCTTACTCTCCAACCAGTGCCACGTGGCAGCTCCCATTGTTGGTCTGGTCCAATGGAACGTGGGTTCTTGTCAGGACCGATTGATAAGTTCCAGAGAAGCTTGTCTCATGGTAGTTTTAATTCGAAGAAGAAAAGTTTTAGTTTGATGAATGGTTTCAAGAGAGCAATATCAAATAAAATGCTAAAAGCTTCTGTTTCAGATAAAGAATTATCACCAGATACAGAGAGGAGTAATGAGAATTTTCTTGTTAAATCTAATCCTAGCAGTAGGGGGAGTTTGAGTGTTGATGATCATGGTGATCAAAATGATGATGATGATGGTGATGATGGTGATCAGTTCTCAATGAAAAGTCAGAATTTGCAATGGGCACAAGGGAAAGCTGGTGAGGATCGGACCCATCTCGTTGTTTCAGAAGAAGATGGGTGGATTTTTGTAGGGATTTATGATGGTTTTAGTGGACCCGATGCACCTGATCATTTGCTTGGTAATCTTTTTAATGCTGTGTTCGAAGAGCTTAAAGGTTTGCTGTGGAATGATGATAAGGCAGAATCAGATGAAGCTTTGGGATTGGATGCTTTTGAAGGTAAAGAGAATTCTGGGAAAAGGTTGAAGAAGTGGAAGTGCGAATGGGATAGTGAGAGGTTGGAGCTGTCTACGAATTCAATGGAAAGTGTTGATCATTCCGATGTTCTGAAGGCACTTTCAGAGGCTTTGAGTAAAACTGAGGAGGCTTATTTAAAGGTTGCTGATTTAAAACCTGAGTTACATGTAATGGGTTCTTGTGTTTTGGTAACTTTGTTGAATGGAGAAGATGTTTATTTGATGAATGTGGGGGATAGCAGAGCCATTCTGGCACAAAAAGCAGGGTCTAAGACTAAGCCTGAGATCGAAACCCCTTTTAATTTGATTCCTCTTCAGCTCACGATGGATCATAATGCAGATGTAGAAGAGGTGATTTAGTATTTTCACTTGATGTTATGGTATTGTTCTGTTTGTTCCTTAACTTTCAAGACTAGCTGACAGGGGTTTCCTTAATACCAGGAAGTTGAGAGAATCAGGAAAGAACATCCAGATGATGATGAGGCAGTTGTGAATGAGAGAGTGAAAGGCTATTTGAAGGTCACTCGGGCTTTTGGGGCTGGCTTTCTCAAACAGGTAAGCACTGAAAAAAATGTAAAGCTTACTTGATTCATATGCTTTGTAATTTATACAAGTTTGTCTGAAATTTCGGTATAAATTATATTCATCAAAAGTGTCAAGCCTATTGTTTGTAAGTATCAGTAGTATTCTTTTTCATTTTGATCCTATATCAGTTCAAAAGCAGAGGTCAAAAGATGGTTATGTCCCTTTGAATGGTTTTGTGGGCAGTTCAATATTTTACTTCCTATTTGGCTGATTTTCAATGTTTACTCTGTTGCCTTGTTGGCAGCCAAAATGGAATGATGCCCTCTATGAGATATTCAGAATCAATTATGTTGGGACATCCCCATACATCAGCTCTTCTCCTTCACTCTATCACTACAAACTGAGCCCCGATGACAGATTTCTGATACTGTCCTCTGATGGACTCTACCAATATTTCACCAACCAACAAGTTGTCTCTGAAGTGGAGTGGTTCACTGCTTCATTTCCTGATGGAGATCCCGCTCAGCATCTTGTTGAAGAAGTACTGATCCGGGCAGCTAAGAAAGCTGGTAAATTTCCTTATCATAACAAGATTCTATTTATCTAGCAAACAAACTATAGCCTTAGTTTAACTTCTTTTTTTCATTTTTGTTTCCTTCCCTTGGCAGGTCTTGAGTTTCATGAGTTGGTTGAGATCCCACCAGGGGAACGTCGAATGTACCATGATGATGTTTCTGTGATCATTATTTCTTTAGAAGGAAGGATATGGCGTTCATCAGTAAACAGAAATACCAGCTAGTAGTAATAAACAAAAGACGTTAGAACAAAAATTTAGGTTATATTGCAACCAATTTTCTTCTATATTTTGGTGTAGAGTTTCACTTGTGAGGTTAGTAAAATCCATTGATAGATCAGTCATCCATTAATTGATAAGTCTAATTTCTTCCTCCCTGTCTTTCGTATTGCTGAGGTAATTATAAGGGTAACTTGAGTGGAAAGAAGGAAGGCAGAAGAGTCAGCCTGAATGGAAAAATTTTTGGATTTTTGCATGGTTCCCTCTTCCTGCAATCATCATGGAGGCCTCTAATTATGCTAAATATTGAATGGAAAAGTCCCAAGGAATCATAATTTTCTGATCATAACTTATTATCTTACTGCTCCTTAGATTGAAATGCTTCATTCAATATTCAAAATTTTCTGCTAAACCTAATGGGTTAACAATCGTTTAGGAAAAATATTTAAAGAATGAAGTCATCTTGCATCTACTTTCTTACCAAATCTAAGCTTATTTCAATACAACTTCTTCAACTGCTTGTCTGTCATTATGTTTTGCCCTCTCCTTCACCATAATCTTCCTTATCTCAAACGGAAACCAATTGTCGAGTTGTGTTGTTGGAAGTGGTTTGTGTTCCTTAAAGTTGGGTCTCCACTAAGCAAGATCTGACCCGTGTTAACTGCGTCATTGCACACTTAGGCAAGGAAAGATTGACAAATCATCTTCTCCTAATGGCTGAATACTTTTAAATTTTCTTCTAGAAAGGAAAAAATTTTGAACAATTATATCATCTTATGACCCAATATAAAATTCAGGTTTAGAGTGTGTAGTTGGATATGATAGCAACAGTCAATAACTTCTCTCGTTTGTTTTTAAATCTCCAACTCCTTTATTGTTTATAATGCAAGGTTTGAAAACTAATATCTCAGACTTTCTGCAACACAGAAAAAAGTCAGCTAGCATGACTTCAGGGGTGAGTTTCAAACTCCCAAAACTCCCTCTTGAAATTTTGTAGCAAGAAAACAAATAATTGGGAAGATTTTGACCAAACTAGAAGACAAAACTGTTGCTGTCCAGGCTTCCAGTTAACTCTTCCAGGAGTAGGATCTTTGGGGATGATAAAGAACACTTGGTAGGTTCATATTTAATAAATGGAGCTGCATGGGGCCATGATTCAGGTATCAGATTCATGCACAGAAAGTTAATAGCCATGCAGGTTAGTGTTTTTTGTGTGACAGTTGCTAGTTGGTTAAGGCCTTTAACATCCCGTGACCTACCAATTTAATGTTCAAAGGTAACTTGGGTTTGGATATTTAAGCTGTCATTGTCGAATTCCTTTTGTTGGGAAACCTGAAGAGAAGCCAACTGTAATCTGGATGGATGGGAGAAACTTTGACTCTTCATTCCTAATTCTAACAGTGGCTCAAGTAGTTTCAATTTGAAATGTAGTAGCTAAGATTTTAGGTTTTGGGTTGGAGAGTGAGAGAGAAACCAAATACCAATTCTTCCAAATTCCAAAGGTCCTTTCTTGCTTCAGGTAAAGTGGAGGGACCAATCCATATGCCAACATAGGAAAGTCAAACTTTATGTTTCCATTTTCAATTAATCTATAAACAGGAGTCAATCTCACGTTCCCTGACCCAAGAGGAAGGGAGGAATAGGAAGCAATTGGCAATCCAAATGCTATGTTTAACCCACTAATCAAGGCTCATAGAAATAAGTATGCATGTTGGAGGTATCATTAGCCAGGTGGTAGTCATACCTCTCAACTTAATCACCAAATATTCATAAAAGGTGTGAAGATGAAATGCAATTGGGTAAAAATCAAGACTTCAAATTGAAGATAAAAGTAAACAATTGAAGGATGATATACAAAGAGTACATTGAATTTATCTCCAGACGAGGACAGAGGACAGTGTACTGAACTTTGCAGGGTGTCAAAATTCTCAGTACATGAAACAACTCCGATGAAAGTTCACTTCCTCTGGTCAAATATAAACTCCATTTTTACAGCAGCAAATCAAGGGACGATCTCACATCAGCTATGAAAAGTGATCTGATTCTACATACTGTCTTTCAATATCCAAAATCCTTCTTTGAATGCAGAGTGAAAAAATCTTCACCAGGGTTATTGCTAAAATTGGAGATCTTGAAAAGTAATAGAGATGTGCTTCATAAACTTCGTGTGAAGTCCATGTTATAGCAAGTGGGATTGCATGGATAAGGGCAATCAATCTGCTTCGATACTTTACGGTTGAAATACCAATCACCCACAGACTCTGCAATGGTCTGTTCCTAAAACGTTACTCATATAAAATGGTTAATAATTATTAAAATTCCAGTGCAGAGCAAGTGTCGATCAAATAACAATTAGCACAATCACCAGCAAGACCAGATAGAAGCCGTGGATGTTGGCATTCATAGAATCAGAACGATAAGCCCTAAATCAATTGTTTTTAGTTCTACCTTAATTGCAACTAAAGTTTTTGTTTTTGAAAATCATGATAGATCCTGAAAACTATCATTTTATCTCCATAATAGATGATAAAAACATTCCTTACCTTATCGTTGATTCTTGGAGAATTGGGCGAATGCCATGTCTCAGCCATCAATGTCTGGCAATGAATAAAGCAAGAATTTATAAACATGCCCACTTCCTTTCTTTGCTGGAGCTCACTTAGTGCCTTAAGCAGAGAATTACGGAAACCTATATGTCAGAAGCGATAAGATCAGGCCACAATATAAGAGCTGCTTCGTTGCTTGGAAATATTAATTGCAATGCATATCTCCAATTTCAATGTTCTAAAGTCTCCTTGGATTGTCAGGCAAAGTGTATTGGGTACATATTACCTATCCAACTAACCTTGTAGTGTTTCAATCTGGCTAGAATTACACTTCTGAATGTTCAGTCTGCATCTGCTCCAGTAGCCATGAGGATCTGATGCATCAGGAACTAAGATATGTTGTATCTAAAGATTATCCGGTCAGTGTTAGAAGATATAAATGAAAAGGAAAATAGCATTACCTAATTAGCAAATAGCTTCCAGTTTGATAACAAGTTACCTGCCAAAAATCATAAGCTGGGTTGACAATGAAAAGTGGGGTTCTAACATTTTTGACAATTTCTTGAGGAAAGAAACACTGCAATGGCAATCAGCAACAGACCATGGCAGGTAAATATTTGTAATTCAAAACTTGTTGAACATGAAGAGCAAGTGAGATCAATGATAAAAAAAACAGTGACATGATTACCATTACGAAAAGAAAAGAAAAAAGGAATAAAAGAAAAAAAGAAAAGCAAAAACCTGCCTTAGAGGGTTCCATTCTTCCAACACAATTCTTGTGCAAACTTTTTGCTGTACCCTGACATGACATGTAAACAAAAGAAATCAAGAACTTTAGCAAAGGTTGAATAATAGAAGGAAAAAGGAAAAACCAAAAACAGGAACCACTGATTTGGACCCAAGGTGATGCACCCTATTGATCACCTTTAAATTTTAATGCCAGTTGTCAAAATGACCATAACCAACTGACTTATCATTTTCTTAGGATGTATAACCCATGGCAAGACATTACATAGGCATGATATATGGAGATTGGCAGAACCTGTAGTTGGACAACATCATGATAGAAAGCCCTCATGGTGCGGTTTCCAAGAATATCTGGCCTGCAATAGAGAAAACAGAAAGAGCAAGTTTCAACATATGCAGTCAAGACTAAATTGAAGAAGGATTGTTAACTTAATGTATATGGATAAATGAAGCAGTATTTGCTAAATCTGGATAAGTATCTCAGCACCCACTATATTTTTGTTGCAACATCAAAATGACTTATGATTTTGCATGAATACTAGCATAATACATATATGCTTAAAATCTAGAAATATATATAAAAGCATGGATGTTGGTAGAACTTTCGATTGACGAAAATGGATATATTTGTTTTTTGTATTTTTAAATTGTCATTTTAAATATTTTTTATAATAATATAAGAAACATCCAATTTATAAATAAGAACTTTAATTGCATTAATGTCTTTCATTAAAAAAACTATTTTTTTAGTTCTAATAGTACTGAATAATTTATAAATTAATATAACAAAATTTCAATTTTTTATACTTTAGAAACATTTGAAGTTATATATAATTACTATATTTAAAAATAAAAAAAAAAAAGTATTCATGCGTGCACACATGACAGCAAATACTAGTAAAAATACAAAGAAACATACATATATGTGTATTTTTACATAAACTCATGTATATAGAACTGTATGATCAGTTCAAATATAGCTTAAAAAGCATCGATATTGTACCAAAAATAAAAACGTACTCATCAAGGAAAAAACCTGCATCAGCAAGACACTTGACAGTTGCATCCTTTGGCAGATGATCTCGAAAGTCATCACAATGTATAAGAGTTGCCAACCCACCGGCAGAGCACCCTGAAAGAAGTGCCTGCAAAGTCATCAAATCCATCACCTTGCAATTAAAGACTGCATGACAACAATCACGAAAAATGAAGACAAATGTACTTAGTAACACTTTTTCACCTTTAAATAAGAAAATTCAACCAAAGCATCAATGTTGCTACCTCTTTTGCATTAGACAATCCGAGTGATAAGACTTCATCCATAATTGCTTCCCAAATGAGTTGGCCTCTGAAGAAAAGCTTTGTTCCATTCTATGAAAGACAATTAAACAACCCAAAAAATTAGAAATGTAATCCAAATTTTCTTTTTATGCAAAAATTTTCTCCAATCTTAAATAAATAACTAAAAAATTTTTACCTTGAACTGACTTTCAGGGTGGCCAGCGAAAGATGCACCATCACAATAACGTATCTTAACCTTATTCCAATTATAAAAATCTGTAAAAAAAAAAAAAAGAAGAAAAAATCACTCTCTTTTTTTGTAAGCATATTATTTCAACAACATAATTTATTAAGAAAAAAAGGAAAATCAATGATGCAACGAATATACCAGGATTTTGAGAAGGATGACCGCTTAAAATGCCAGAAAATTCA